ACCTATTCAAGAATTATAAAAACTCTCTAAAATATTAAAATCACTCATACGTCCTCGTTATAATACCCAATTAATAATAATCATACGACAAGGTGTACAATGGAAATCTTAACTTTTTTAAATAATTATAAAATCTATAATATGTATTAATAAAACATTATTTTCTTTATAATTTCAGGTGATCGTTTGATCATGAGTTTTATTGATGAAAGCCAATTTGCTCGTCTTGTCGATATTGAGGTGTCTCTGTGGTATCCCAATCCTGGCTATGAAGGTAAAATCCTTAGCTTTGTTGAGTTCGTTACCGATTTGTCGACCACCGAGGCTGATGTCTTCTTTGTAAATGATGGCGGTATTGGCAGTACCTTTGCTGAAATTTTAATGACCGCCAATCGTACCACTAACTTTGGTTATCAAATCTTTATGTATGGTTATTAAATGGGCTTTAAATTAATGAAAAAATAATTTAAAAAACAAAATGTATTGCTGCATATAAAAACAAAAAAAAAAAAAAAAAAACAAATTCTGTGATTAAATGTTGTTGAGTCCTTTATATAAAAAAAACAAATTAACATACAAACTTAACAAATAGTTTATTTATTTATTGTTATTTTTAAGTATATATTTAAGTTGTTTATTTATTTAAAAAAAATATATATGAATAGAACATTTGGAAAAAGTAATTTTGAAATATTTAGCGGAAAAAAGGGAATTTCGAACATTAATACGATCTAGTAGCTCTATAAAAATCAGCACAATATGGTCGGCTTAGCTTTGGACTGATAGAATTACACAGGTCAACAAATTTTTCACCCAGTGACCAAAGTATACTTCTTTAAAAGATTGATCCAAGCTGAATCCGAATCTTAGAATTTCCATATCACATCTGGGAATTGAGATATAAAACAACACAATTTTTGGCCCTTTATATGAGACGTTATAACAGTGTCGAGAACACTTTACATAGAATATGATGTACGCCATCTGAAAGTCCATTTTATCAACTTTAAAATAAAGGCTTAAAATCTGACATATCTTCTCTCTTTCTTCGAGTTATCTTCACCTAAAATTTGACATAACAATACATTTTTCGTACATTTCCCCTATATTTTACAAAAAAAAAAAATGAATTACTAAAAATGTGCTGTAGTTTCTGAGATATCATTCCCTGCAGTTGACGGATGAACCGACTTCGTTAAGTCGAATCAGAAAGTGATTTGGAGTCGATTGGAACATATTTAGATATGTGTGGAACCAATATTTTTGTTCGTTATAAACAATATATACAAAGCATAATAATCTTTGCACTAAACTAGTGTAGGGTATAAATACCGTGAATATACCGAAGAGTTTTCAATATTTAGGTGAATATATCTCGAAAAATAAAGAAGATAAGTCAGAAGTTTGTTTAAAGTTGACTGAATGGAATTTCAGATAACATAAAACATTTTCTACATAAAGTTGTCTTGGCACTGTTATAACGTCTCAAAAAGGGTCAAAAATGGCGTTTTGTCAAATTGCAGCACACGATATCTCAAATCTCAGACATGATGGAGAAAATGTTTTGTTTTTGATGATTTGGATCTCGAAAATAACTGGGAACATCAGAAAATTATTTTCAAAAAATATAGACATATAGACGGACAACGCTTTGAAATTTATAAAGATTAAGAACATACATTCTTATTAGGATCAACTTCCCTGCAGGAAATGTCAATAGTAAAACTGTACTGACTAGTGACTTATTATATGACATACAATGCTTTCTACTATAGACATTTAACATGTGCGTGTCATTGAAAATCTACTACTGACTTTAGTACTATTGACTAGGTACTTCTTTTGGGACCATATGTAGACTTTGGAACCAGTGATTCACTAGTATATTTTAACAATTCTAGTCTACACTTTTGGTATTTTTTGGAGTAAATAGCTAATAAAAATGCTAATTTTGTTAAAATTTCACATATTTTATTAAAAAAATAAAAAGGTTCGAATTCATTTAGATACAAGCTTTTTTTTAATAACTATTTTATTGCAGTCGTCGCCGACATATTATTAATCAGCTGCCGCCAATCATTTGTTATTGACGCTTCCTTGACAATGTCGCCAATAAGTCACCAAAATAGTCGACCAAACTGGTGACTTGGGGACACTTGTCGACAGGTTTCCTTCAGGGATTCTCATGCTATACTAACACAATTATAAAGAATATTTTCAAAATATGTTTGTTATTTTATGATAAATCTGATTATTTCTAACTAAAACCTGTATATCTGGTTAATACTAGAGGTTTAAGTATTGAAGAACAATTTTTTATTATTTATTAAGGTGGCTGCCAAAAATTGAACAATAACAAAAGATTATATTATTATTAAAAATATGAAATGAAAAACGTTATACTTCAAGTGGTATAGGCAGATCCTTCTTACTTAAAGTCTTAAAACTTGAACTAGTCTATTGTTCCTCCATTTCGAACCTCCTTAATAAAAATAAACACTTGTTTTGTACAATTTGTTTTGGTTTTTACAAACATTTGCCATAAACCAGATAAATACTACTGATAATATAGGTTCTTTTATTTATTTAAAGAATAAAATGCTAATTAAAGCTAGATTATGGGCAATAATATTTATTTGTTGTCAATTTTGATAGGGCTCTTTAATCAATTAATAATATCAACAAAATTCGCAATAGAAAACGATTAATTTTCAAACGAGCCGATAAAGAAAGTGAAATTTGTTTTCTTTTTTAAGAAATGGCGTAATAGAAATAAAAATGACTATGTTTTTTTTAAATATAAATAAAAAAATATGTATATAAAAATAATTTAGGTACATAATTCTAATCGAACTGTAGAAATTCTAAAGGCAATTTAAAATCATATGTTTTTTATTCTTATTAGAAATTATCAGCCTGGGAACTGATTTAATGTCTGGGATCAAGTCACACGCAAATTATTCGTTTCATAAATTTCATAATATAATTTCATAGAAAAATAATAATTTTTATTTTTAAAATTTTTTTTATTGCATTTTAATATTACGAATTAAAATAAGCAAATTAACAATTTATTCAACTTTTATTTGCTATGAGTCATTGCATTGTTTTAATTCCAAAAATCCTTATAATTACCAATTAATGTAAGGAGAGGGAAAAGGCAAGAAACGAAAGGACAAAGCGGGAAAGGAAAAGAAACGCGAAAGGGGGGGAAGAAGAGACAGCAGAACGGGAGAAAGCAAGGGAGGGGGAGGGGGGGGGAAAGGGGCAAGGAGACGGGGGCGGGGGAGGACGCAGCAGGACGAAGGGCAGCGAGCGAGGAGCGAGCGACGAGCGAGCGAGCGAGCGAGCGAGCGAGAGAGCGAGCGAGCGAGCGAGCGAGCGAGCGAGCGAGCGAGCGAGCGAGCGAGCGAGGAGCGAGCGAGCGAGCGAGCGAGCGAGCGAGCGAGCGAGCGAGCGAGAGCGAGCGAGCGAGAGCGAGCGAGCGAGCGAGCGAGCGAGCGAGAGCGAGCGAGCGAGCGAGAGAGCGAGCGAGAGAGCGAGCGAGCGAGCGAGCGAGCGAGCGAGCGAGCGAGCGAGCGAGCAGAGCGAGCGAGCGAGCGAGCGAGCGAGCGAGCGAGCGAGCGAGCGAGCGAGCGAGCGAGCGAGCGAGCGAGCGAGCGAGCGAGCGAGCGAGCGAGCGAGCGAGCGAGCGAGCGAGCGAGCGAGCGAGCGAGCGAGCGAGCGAGCGAGGAGCGAGCGAGCGAGCGAGCGAGCGAGCGAGCGAGCGAGCGAGCGAGCGAGCGAGCGAGCGAGCGAGCGAGCGAGCGAGCGAGCGAGCGAGCGAGAGCGAGCGAGCGAGCGAGCGAGCGAGCGAGCGAGCGAGCGAGCGAGCGAGCGAGCGAGCGAGCGAGCGAGCGAGCGAGCGAGCGAGCGAGCGAGCGAGCGAGCGAGCGAGCGAGCGAGCGAGCGAGCGAGCGAGCGAGCGAGCGAGCGAGCGAGGAGCGAGCGAGCGAGCGAGCGAGCGAGCGAGCGAGCGAGCGAGCGAGCGAGGAGCGAGCGAGCGAGCGAGCGAGCGAGCGAGCGAGCGAGCGAGCGAGCGAGCGAGCGAGCGAGCGAGCGAGCGAGCGAGCGAGCGAGCGAGCGAGCGAGCGAGCGAGCGAGCGAGCGAGCGAGCGAGCGAGCGAGCGAGCGAGCGAGCGAGCGAGCGAGCGAGCGAGCGAGCGAGCGAGCGAGGCGAGCGAGCGAGCGAGCGAGCGAGCGAGCGAGCGAGCGAGCGAGAGAGCGAGCGAGCGAGCGAGGAGCGAGCGAGCGAGCGAGGAGCGAGCGAGCGAGCGAGCGAGCGAGCGAGCGAGCGAGCGAGCGAGCGAGCGAGCGAGCGAGCGAGCGAGCGAGCGAGCGACGAGCGAGCGAGCGAGCGAGCAGCGAGCGAGACGAGCGAGCGAGCGAGCGAGCAGCGAGCGAGCGATCGAGCGAGCGAGCGAGCGAGAGCGAGCGAGCGAGCGATAGAGCTATCTATCGACGAGCTAGGATCGATCGATCTGCTATCTATGAGCGAGATCTATCTAGAGAGCTATCTAGTATCGATATCGAGCGATATCTATCTATCTATCTATCTAGATCTATCTATCTATCTATCTATCTATCTATCTATCTATATCTATCTATCTATCTATCTATCTATCTATATCTATCTATACCAGTATTAAATGAGTATTAACTCCCACCACCACTTGAAAGGTTATTGGAGGTTTGCTCATTAAACTGAAAATGATACCGATTAACGATTAAAAACTTATCACTTGTTTCTAATGACTAAAACATGACTCAAAATGTTTAAAAAATACAAAAATGAGTTGGAACTGCTCAGACGCATAAATGACTCTTTAGGGGATTCGCGGATAGGGTACCATATTCTCCCGAAGAAAGTATCATTTATGATCAGAAACATATGTGATCATTTAAAACGTGCAGAAGAGTCATAAATGACTCGAACGTGATCAATAATTTAAATCAATAAATTAAAAACTAGCTGGGACCTATATATTTTTATTTTTGCTTTGATTTTACTTCACACATTTTAACATATTAATATGTACGTGTACCTTCATTCATGGTTATCTTAACAATAATCATTATTTTTTTTATTTTCATTTCGTTTATCTTTCAAAGATCATTCTGTTGTGCCATAGATAACCAACATGTAATTTAACAAATTGGAATTATTGGCAACAATTTGCAAAGAAATATTATTCTCTCCAATACCACCAGCAGTAACATAGGCCTGAGTGGTAGCACCATCTTCAGCATTAACATACAATTGAATTTGGGTAATTGTTAATAAACTATCAATTTCTGCTTCATTATCATTTTCCCCCGCCTTTTCGGGATAGTTGAAATCTAATGAAATTTCCGGTTGTTGTTCATCAAATGTTTGGGTGTATTGATAAGTGTAAATAATTTTGGCTCCTAAAAGTATGATGCAAAAAATACTATTAGTAGGTATTAACTATTTATTTAAATTAAGTAGTTTACTCACCATTTTCTGATTGTCCCAAAGTGTATTGTTCATACAAATTACGACCTGCTAGAGGAGAGCGTAGAAATCCTATGGCTTTAAAGGTCTTATTTTGCGTAGCTCCTAAAGTTTGTAGGAACAAAGCCCATAATATAATTTTAATAGTTAAGGCTTCAGAGCGTGCCATTATTAAAATGTGTAATTTGTTTTTTGCAATAATTGTGCATTGTATTGCATTTATATAGCAATGAGAATGGCAAAAGTTACAATTTCAAGTAATTTTCTAAAGATATTCACATAATTGTTGTTGTTTTCTTCTTATACAATTTGTTATCAAAAACAAATAAAACAATCATGTTATTTGTTGCAACATGACTTCCAAATTGCTTGTAGTAGCATTTTGTAGTGTTTGAGTAGGGGTTGAGAATTGAATTGATTGATTGATAGAAAAAAACTTTGTATATTACCTTTTTTTCTGTTTTGATGATAAGATATACATACATACATCGTGTTTTTAGTTAAAAAAAAATATGCGATGGCCTTAATGTATAAGAAACATTTGTGTGGGTGTGCAACTGCCGGAAAAAAAGTTATTGTTAGAACCGAATAATTAGACTACAGTAGATAAAGAATGATCATTGTAAATAAGTGGCTTAGAGGCTGCATACATATGCAAAATTCGGTCATTAAGTTCAATTATATTGGCTTGTATATATCCGTAGATGTAGCTCAGAAGTATTGAGTTAATTCACGCACAATTAAGATTGAAATTTTCTAGCACTCATATGGGTAAGCATGTGATCAGTGTTGCCAATTTGACAAATCTGACGTTTTTCTACTGACAATTGGGGGGGAAAAAAGCATTTTTTAGACTATAGACTAAACTATAAACTAGACTATAGTTTATAGTTTATAGACTAGATTATAGACTAGATTATAGACTAGACTATAGACTAGACTATAGACTAGACTATAGACTGGACTATAGACTAGACTATAGACTAGACTATAGACTGGACTATAGACTAGACTATAGACTAGACTATAGACTAGACTATAGACTAGACTATAGACTAGACTATAGACTAGACTATAGACTAGACTATAGACTAGACTATAGACTAGACTATAGACTAGACTATAGACTAGACTAAGACTAGTACTCTAGACTAGACTATTAGACTAGACTATAGACTAGACTATAGACTAGACTTATAGACTAGACTATAGACTAGACTATAGACTAGACTATAGACTAGACTATAGACTAGACTATAGACTAGACTATAGACTAGACTATAGACTAGACTATAGACTAGACTATAGACTAGACTATAGACTAGACTATAGACTAGACATAGACTAGACTATAGACTAGATATAGACTAGACTATAGACTAGACTATAGACTAGACTATAGACTAGATATAGACTCGACTCTAGACTAGACTATAGACTAGACTCTAGACTAGACTATAGACTAGACTATAGACTAGACATAGACTAGACTATAGACAGACTATAGACTAGATATAGACTAGACTATAGACTAGACTATAGACTAGACTATAGACTAGGACTATAGACTAGACTATAGATAGACTATAGACTAGACTATAGACTAGACTATAGACTAGACTATAGACTAGACTATAGACTAGACTATAGACTAGACTATAGACTAGACTATAGAGTAGACTATAGAGTAGACTATAGACTAGACTATAGACTAGACTATAGACTAGACTATAGACTATACTATAGACTAGACTATAGACTAGACTATAGACTAGACTATAGACTAGACTATAGACTAGACTATAGACTAGACTATAGACTAGACTATAGACTAGACTATAGACTAGACTATAGACTAGACTATAGACTAGACTATAGACTAGACTATAGACTAGACTATAGACTAGACTATAGACTAGACTATAGACTAGACTATAGACTAGACTATAGACTAGACTATAGACTAGACTATAGACTAGACTATAGACTAGACTATAGACTAGACTATAGACTAGACTATAGACTAGACTATAGACTAGACTATAGACTAGACTATAGACTAGACTATAGACTAGACTATAGACTAACTATAAATAATTTATAGTTAATTGTTAACAAATTTATTCAACCATTTCTATCTATTATTTATTAAATTCAATAACTTATTAAGAAAAAGTTACTTCTTCTTAAGTATATATTTTTTATACAAAATAATTGAAACAAAAAAGACTTGATTAAAATTGTTAAAAGAACTTGACCTATTAAATAAAGTATATACAAAGTCGTTCTGATTTAAATTTTAACAACTACAGATGAAACATAAAATACACTTGTTCGAGTTTTAAAAACAAAAATTTTAATAAAATAGCAAAAACTGATAACAGTAGTAGGTTAATTAATTATTTTTTTTTTGTTTTTTATAAAATTATTTTAAAGACATTTATTGTTAGAAGAGAATTGAGTATTTTTTACTATATGTTTATTAAAATTACTATAGGAGATTTTAGAAAAATTTAAAATATTTTGATTAATTAAAATTCTAAGAAATTTGTGGGGTTTTTTAGGGAAATTAGCTAACTAAAATGCAGATAGTATGTAGTAGTCATTATTAGTATAAAACATTATTACCATGTTTTTGTTGAGTATTTATAAGATTTATTGTTCCATTCAGGCATTAGGGATGTGTAATGGCTACGTGAAAACATAGACGTAGAATAGACATATTTCCTATTGGGCTCGGACAATGAATAGATGCCTTTTAAAGACCCAGATTAAGATAAGATGATGATGTAAACAAATCTTCAGTAAAATTGTTTGGCATCATTTGAAACTGAAAATCTATATTAATTAACAAATTGACGTAATGATAAGCTGATAAATTTAGGATTTTTTGAATTTTGTCTTAAGTATTAATATGTGTAAAAATATCTGTAATACTGTGTAATTTGATAGACAACCAGGCGACTAAAAAGTTTTGCTATACATTTTTACACCTAATTAGTTTAATGAATACTTATTAGAAGGCATTTTTGTTACGTCAATAGTGATTAGGAAAGTGGTTTACATGAAACGTTTAGGTATACAACATTAACCTTCGGACATCCAAACGTTATACGTATTCTAATAAAAACAAATTATTAATTTAAGCAATAATTGCATTTAAACAAATTTCATTAATTTCAAAATATTGTAAATTATAAATAAAGATGGTAGATTAAAAATTGCTGAATTGAAGATTTCGGTAGTTCAAAGGTTAAAATACAGCAGAAATGAATTGTATTAAATGCATATGGGCAGTTTCATATCAAGTCAAAACATCGATTATGACAATGTTAGTACTATTGGATAGTAGGCCAGACACAAATTATCAGCGCTATCGGCCCAGAACTGCCGGACTTAGAGGGGGTCAAAGATAGACATTTTGGTCATACAGGGTTTTATTCAAATGCCTGTAACTTTTCACCAATTGGTCACAGCAAAAATTGTCCAAAGGAGTTCAGATAGCTATTTCTTCAATGTTTCTAGACTTTGTGCAATTTTTATCAAAATTGGAAGACATCGATTTTTAAAGTTAGGTCACTTTTTAAAAAAATATTTTTTAAATTTCAAAATTTTTATTAAAAGAGACTGATTTAGGAATGAAAGTCTAATAGATATATAATATATCAGATCTATTGTTGGAACACCATCTATGAAAAACTTCAATAATCGTTAAATGTATAGAAATTTTTTAAAATTACAAATATAAAATTTGAACTGTTAATCAACTGGAAACACCTCAGACAGATTTCCTATAGATTTACCTAGAAAATTTTGATTTTAGATCATTGGTGTTATTGCAATCGCGGGAAAAATCACTAGTCTGCCGGGACTATAAACTGGTGATGTCAAATGCATTATCGATCTATCCTTGATTTGATATGGGGTCGAACCAGAGAACCACACAATTTAGTACTAAGGGGCCAGTTGCCTGCAGGACTTGTCCAGGTTGGTCATAAGTTAAGGTTCTTTTGAGATCCACGTAGTGGCTATGTCTTAAACCTGCGTCGCAGGGTGAATTGTCATTTTGAAACTTGGTGGTTCTGTCCTTCCGTAGATGATCTTTATGATGTGAGAATGGAACTAATATAAATTGGTGCAATTTCGGGAAAAACTCTTTTGCCCTGCAGTGGACTAGTATTGATTTTGTATGCCTTTTTAATTCAGAGAAGTTCGCGGTTTTTATGCTATCTCAACAGGATAAATATTGCGACATGCTACGTGACTAATGGTTGAGGTCCGTCACTTTTTCTGTCGGGGCAATTATTGGGTTCGGTTGAATTTGCAATCCCTACATCCTTTGTCATACCATCTTGATATATAGAGGGATCCTGATTTGTTGTTGTTGTATTCGGGTCTACCAAATATGTCACTAGGCGCTGTCGCCAAATTAACAGAGCTGTGATGTGGTTCCTTGGGCTTTAAATGGTTGAGGAATGTGCTTGATGGATGGAAATGCAACGGCATGGCTTATGACTGCGAAAGTCCTGTTGGTCAATCTCCGCATGCGAGGGCTCATCCAAAAGTTGATCAAACTGATTTATTTCCCCTTGTCGGAGTATGCATTAGGATTGGTCTTATGCTGCCTGTCATTCCGCAACGTGATTACTTAGTTAGTTAGTATGTATACACATCAAATCCTCCTCTACCAGTGCCTCAGGTGGGAATCGAACCCACCACCTCCGGTGTACCTGACTTGAACACTATCCACTAACCTATCTGAGTCCACTTGGTAAGATATTATATAGCTCGAGTACTACAGCATGAAACGCCACAGCCATATAACAAAACTTGACACCTTGAGTGTTCTTTATCGAAGTGACTCGGGGGCGAATGCTGGACCGTTTTTAATTCACCCAGTGGCCGTCAAGGCAGGCGTTAAGTTAATTGACATTCTTACCATCTAGATACACCTAACACATCAAATTTTCCATAATTTCTGATTTTTATTTTTTAAAGATTTTGATCTCAAAATCTACAAACTAAACAAACGTATAATTACTTAACATAAACCATAATAATCAACATTATAATTGTCAATCAATGTCAACAATAGTTTGAAATTTTTTTTACTTGCGGTTTTTAAAGTTAAGATGACGTTTTCCATTGTTATTATTGAGGGAACTTAAACATTTCATAAATAAATGATTCATTGGCCGGTTTTTTATTCATAAAAATAAACAAATTGGCAAAAAGTGTTGCAGTTGTGTGAACAAGTATTAAAATTCTATAAAAAAAACTATAATGTACTCAACATTGTTTATTAAAATGTTACAGAGACAATTTATATGCAAACATGACTCGGTTTAGAGATGTTTTTAAAAGTGTTTGAAAGTATGTAAACAATATTAAGCAGAAACTATAACTGAACTTTTAATGAAGTAAGTCCATAAAGTAGTACTTGTACTTATTTATATATGTATACATATTCCCAACAATCATAGCCATAAGTATACTTTACACGTACATATAAACTACAAGTAGCCACTACTATTGACTGACCACAACAATTCATTTGAATTGAGATTTAATTGAATTCTCTTGAATTTTTCATTGAATAAATTGATTTGAGTTGATATTTTCTCAATCACGCTGAGCAAAAACTAACTATGAACAGATCTGTTGTGTTTGATACCAGATCAATTGTGAGCTCAGTTGTTGGTGAGACGTGTTTTGAAACGGTTGTGCTTATTTGTCTAATCGAAGAGACGACGTAAATATTGTGAAATGGTCTAACGACTGGCCGTTTAATACAATTTAATCGCTAATAAAGTGAGTGCATCATATCAATTAAATAAAAAAATATAAATAAATAATCAACAATAACAAAAAAAAAAATATATATATACAAAAACAAATAAATTTTTTTATAATATAAAATTCAAGAATTTATTGATAATTTGTCTAAAAAAGTGAAAAAAATTCTGTGAAAAAAAAGACAAAACGTTCAACGACTGGTTTAATCTGCACTTTCAGGTCTTAAATGTTTTGAAACTCTCTGTGTGTTTTGTATGTGTGTGTATGCGCTAATGTGTGGAGTCTGTTGAAAAATCAAAAACAAAAAATTTTTAACAACAAAAGTTCTAAATACATAAACAAAATTTTAATAAAAAAAAAAAATAAAACTGATCTGGTTTTAAAGAGCATCCATATACAATATGTCTAAACCATCAGCCCTATGCTGGAAATTGTGTTGAAATAAGAAGGAACCCCTTTGGATATTAAAACGTTTGCTCTGATAGTATCATGATATTGTGACGGTAAATGTATTTTTGGACTACTAAGGAGGGATTTTTGGAGGATTAAAAAATTTTTTAAAAGGGTTTTTGGTAAAAAAGATACATCAAAAATATTACACTTACCGTTGTTTATTTAAAAAAATAAGTAATAAGTTTAGTAAAATTTACAAGAATTTTAACATACTTGGTCAGATTGAATGAAAATAAACATGAGGGAGCTTTTTGGCACTTTCTTATTGTCTAACGAAAATGTACTTTATTAGCTTTATAAGAGTATTCCCATGATATCCTTTTTATAAATTTGTAGTTCCAATTTCGATTAAATTTAACTTCGGAAAGGGTACGAAGCACATAGGGTAAGGTAGTTTTAATAAAAAATAATTCTATATAAAGAGATTACATACTGAGATATTATTAGCGCTGTCAGTATAAAAAACAATAAAATTTATAAATAAACTAACTAGTGGTTCTCTGATCGCTTTGCAGGCCCTTGATTGGGCATGTTGACTCTCCACGAATTGGTTCGGAAGTTATGTGTAATTGACAGAAATTTAATACCACGACGCCATCTAGCGGATAGTTTTCAAACTTAACAGGAATACTCCTCACGATCGCTTGAAATTTTGTCCCATAAGGTGTAGTAGTTCTTGAGTTTATCGGTCACCAACAAACATTACTCTTTTATTGATATAGATAGATAGATAGATAGATAGATAGATAGATAGATAGATAGATAGATAGATAGATAGATAGATAGATAGATAGATAGATAGATAGATAGATAGATAGATAGATAGATAGATAGATAGATAGATAGATAGATAGATAGATAGATAGATAGATAGATAGATAGATAGATAGATAGATAGATAGATAGATAGATAGATAGATAGATAGATAGATAGATAGATAGATAGATAGATAGATAGATAGATAGATAGATAGATAGATAGATGGATAGATATATGGATAGATAGATAGATAGATAGATAGATAGATAGATAGATAGATAGATAGATAGATAGATAGATAGATTAGATAGATAGATAGATAGATAGATAGATAGATAGATAGATAGATAGATAGATAGATAGATAGATAGATAGATAGATAGATAGATAGATAGATAGATAGATAGATAGATAGATAGATAGATAGATAGATAGATAGATGAATATATAGATATATCCGCCTTAGAGTTTATCACTTCCAAATTATTCGATTAAAGGGAGTTCATACCCTTCTGAGATCCCTGATTTTTAATATTAGGTTACTTATGAAAACTTACGACCTGTCTTAAATCAAACCAAATTATCTTGAAAATTGCAACCTGCAGTTTGATTAAAAGACGAACGGACGGACATCGATTAAGAAAGTGATTTTCAGTTGATTGGTATACTACATACATCAGCACAAACCCATAATACCCTCCCCACTATAGTGGTGTTGGGTATACAAAATAGTTTATCGTTTAAGTATTGCCTTAATATATACATACATCCGTATTAAATGAATTCGAGAATATATGATATGATTTAAACATATAGGACAATCCATAATTGACTCAAATCCCCATAAATACATATATTTTTTTTCGGGAAATTACTACAATACTTATAATTTGAAATCAGATATGTGAAACAAATTAATTAACAATATTGAATATTTTAATAAATATCGAATACTAAAAGTATTGATCGATTATAAAACCTAGACCAAAAATTAGGCCTATTTCCGAAACTTAATTAAAGAATTAAAAAGAAATTAATTGAGTTCTTGCTTATCTTTTAGATCATTTTGAATAGGGCTGATAAAAATAAAATATTTATTGTAAACTCGATTATATGAAAAGTAGTGATTCAAGAGCCTATTCCTATTAAAATAACTTTAAATATGTGGTTTTTATTCAAATCGATTTATATTTAGATTTTTTCTGAATAGAGCTGATATTTATAAATAAGTACATTTCTCCGAACTCGAATGTATGACATGTTGCAATAAAACATTTTTTTTAAGTAAATAGTTATCAGTAAATTAAATCGCTTTAATAAAGTACAACAATAATTAACATATTTTACTATACATATAAAATAATTTATAAATATAATTATAATAAAAGTTTAGTTTTAACAAATTTTTTAAATAAAACAATAAACAAATAACACAATGATGCTAGTTTTAAATTAAATAAATAATTAGGCATATAAAATTTAATAATATGTGAAAAACCAATAATTATTAAAACATATAAAGAACAAATTATCCTACAAAATTAAAATTTTTAGTGATTTACCTATGATAAGATGTAGGAAATATAATAAAACTAAAATAATTGAAAAAAATATATATATTTATTGTTTGATTTTTAAATTTTGTTGTAGAGTGTAGAATTTGTGAAAAAAAAATAAAAATATAATTTTGAGTGGGGTACCGGTACAAGTATAAACAAAAATTTACATATGAAAACAATAATTGAACAGGTTTTAGAACTGGTTGATATTTATGTGGAATCGTTAAAGAACAGTTAAATGTTCGATTACAGTAACAAAGATGCGGCTATAAATATTAGGAGAATTTTTAAAGCCGTACACTTAGTAATAATATTATATTTTTTTGCAGAAATATAATAGGTCTGTTCGCGTACTCGATAATTTGTAATAATTTGTAACAATTGTTACAGGATTCCGTTCGCGTACTTTTGAAAACTTGCAACGAGAGAGTAAGAGAGCGATAAAAATGACAGTTCGTTGATAGAGAATTTTTTAATTTTACTGGATATTTTTTCCCCAGTTCACAACAAATGTCAAATGAATTCAATATTCATATGTATTAAGGCATATCACAGTTCTTGAGGATGTGTTAATGAAAAAATCTGCGTTTTTTTTCTAAAAGTTAAAATTTTAGTTTCGATTTTATCTATATTTTAAATTTTGAACTGATTAGGTTTTGGTTCGTTAACTAATCTTCAATACCAATAAAAAGTTTAACAATAATTTTTATTTTTGGTTAATACTTGTATTAGATATAATTTAAAATAAATTAATTTAAATATGTTTTAATTAAACAAAACATATGCGCAGTTAATTGTTGGTAAAACGTAGTTAATTTACTGTGATGCTAGAAAAATTGCAAATTAGAGAGGTCATTACTATGAAATAAACCAGTTTCCTACATATCATACTAATCATCTAAAGTCAAGAATCTTTGACTATAGAATAAGAGAAAATATAATTTAACTGGTCTAAAGGATCTTAAATGTTAATAACTTAATAATTAAGTTTAATGTTTATTCAATTATTTTTGGTGCCTAAAAATTTTGGTCTAGTCTAGTTTGGTCCTTCAAGTAATGTCATATCAAAGGAATAAACATCTTTCGTTATTAGTTCTAGCAACACAGGACAAACTCCATTTAAACAGTCATGTATTTAGTTTGATAACTTTCACTCACTGTAACTTAGAGAGTCCTTGACCGATCTTGTTGAAAAACTAGACTAGATGTCTAAGTGCTTAATGTGAACACCTGCCTTGACGGCCTTATTTCACGTTGCACAGTGGTATAGGAAAAAAAAGAGGGAAATAATTCGGTAACTTCTAAACGGTTAATCCGATTTTAATGAAATTTGGTATGGACAAAGAGGAGGTGTTGTCGAGTTTAGGTTTTGAATTTGTTAGGCATGTTTTACTACCTAAATTTTTATTAATTTTTACAGCCACTTTTAACGATTAATCTTTTATTCTTTATCCCTAAAAAAATTAAAATTAAATTAACTTGTTGTTAAGCGAATAAAAAAAAATGGCGAAAATCGGGAATATTTGGACCCGCTATTATCAAAAAACTAAAGTAAGGACGGTAAAAATTTTAATTTTCAAGTGCGAATATCTCCTAAACTATAAGAGATAATTTAATTTTTTATAGTGCTCGATGAGGAGATTCTATATACGAAATTTTTTTTAAATCGGAACTCAAATGAAGAAATAGGATCGTTTTAAAAATTTAACATAGCCGAGGTGTCCTAATTTGAGGATCCCCGCCGGGCCCCTGGTTGGCCTATAAGGTCCAAATTCAAAACCTAAACTCGACAACACCTCCTCTTCGTGCATACCAAATTTCATTAAAATCGGATTAACCGTTTTTTTTTTCCTATACCACTGTGCGTTGGTCTTTTTCATCCACTGGGTAGAATTGAGACGGTCTACCACGCGCCTTCTATGAAGAACTCAGGAGGCAATTTTGTACATGACTGTACCGGTTCATGTACAAGCACTTTGCTAAAGTACTCGAGCTATCTAATCTCTTGCCATAGTAGCCCCGTTGCAGAATGATAGGCAGCATGGGATCAATTCCAATGCAAACCCCGACAAGGAAAAAGGAATCACTGGTCTAAAGCCAATAGAAGGGCAGACTAAACCAACATCAGGTGAAATCAATCATCCGGAATACCGGAAGGTGATCAACCTTATGATGTTATGAAATATTACATTATTTAAAATGTAATCCCCATCAACTAAAGACCCATTCTAGTGCATTCCTATATTCAATAGGACTATCACCCTTTCAAAACGATCGGAAGACTTGACATGAAATCCCCCATGTATACAAAAGAGTCGTGTAGCTTAATGATTGGTACTTCTTAAACGTACTTTTTGTACAAATGGATAGTACTTTTCATAAAAGCTGAATTTACAAGAATTTTAATATATTTTTATTAACAGTTCCAACTGTAAACTCTTTACGGTATTGTTGTTAGTATTGTAAATTAAAGTGGTTAAAAATAAATTAATTAAAGAAATATTTATAGCTTTTTATGGGAAACAGTTTTAATGATTTATTAAGAATTGACGGTGGTAGGCAAAAACTCAATTGTCCGAAAATCTCTTACACCAAGAACTTGAAAAATTCTTGAGAATTATTTAAACCAGTTTGTTTTAAGCAGAATTTGTATTAATTTTAGATTTTTTCCAGTTTGCTCTGTATTGACGTATGGGAAATTCCAAGATATGAACTGTTTAAGATTCAAATGCTAAACTTTATTACAAAAATAATAATGTAAATTCAATAAATTCTAAGTACGTTTACTTTTTCTATAATTTTGAAGTTCTCCGAAGACAGAAATTTGATTTTAATTTTGATCAAGAAATAAAGAGCCAAACACTTTATAAAAAGGCTCAAGACTAAAAATTGTTGATCCATTTCGACTGGTCAGTGAGTTTTAATAAATAAAGTTCATATTTTACTCAAGCCCCCTCATATTAATATATAAAAGAGTCGCGTTTATGACTGGCTGAACCTATTAAGTTCATTTAGGTAATTCCAGAACTTCCCATTGAAACATTATTGAGAATGATCAAAAGGGAACTTTTTGGTACTTATTTTTTTTAAATATTTTCTATAATATTGAACCTAGAAGCATAATATTTAAAATCCTGGGTCCTGAGTGAATGAAACACTATAATTATAAACATTTTAGTAATTTTTCTTATTTGTTACTTTATCCAAAACTTTTGCATAACTTTCAGCAACCCCTCGTACTTATAAGGAAATCAATAAAATAAATTTGTATGTTATTGATTGATGATGCTTTACGAGTAGATCATTTTATTTATTACAACAATATGACATTGAACTTAAAAAATCCCGCAAAACTACAGTGTGTTAAATAATAAATGAAACAATATCACATACATGACTCTATACTTAATTGATTGATATAAAAACTTTTTTTAAGCAGAATTTTATTGTTTTTGAAATAAAATAATTGTATGTATTTTTTTTACTTTACTAGGAAAAAAAAAACAACATCATCAAACAACGTTTTTTAATAAATAAGCAAATTGATAAACAATTTCATTGTTAAAATAACAAATTAAACAAAAAGACTATACTGTATTTAAATAAAAGAAAACCAAAGAAAACAAAATGCAACTACGAAACTTTAGAACTAGAAATGTTAAGAAATATTCAATGTCACAGATAATGCTGATGATGATGCACTGGGTACTGATGGGTATCATGCTGTTGCAACAAATGAAAACAACAGATGCTGTCAAATTTAGTAAGTGAGATTTTAATTAGTTATTTAGCAAAATAATTAATTGATTTATTAAAAAAATAAACATAGAGGAAGACATAATAGAACGGAAAGTTAAGAGAGTTCCCGCTCTATGTAATTCTCTGTGTAAATCATGCATGGAAAATTTAAATTTTAAAGTAGACTAGACTATAGACTATAGACTAGACTAGACTAGACTATAGACTAGACTATAGACTAGACTATAGACTAGACTATAGACTAGACTATAGACTAGACTAGACTATAGACTAGACTAGACTATAGACTAGACTAGACTATAGACTAGACTAGACTATAGACTAGACTAGACTATAGACTAGACTAGACTATAGACTAGACTATAGACTAGACTATAGACTAGACTATAGACTAGACTAGACTAGACTATAGACTAGACTATAGACTAGACTATAGACTAGACTATAGACTAGACTATAGACTAGACTATAGACTAGACTACAGACTAGACTATAGACTAGACTATAGACTAGACTATAGACTAGACTATAGACTAGACTATAGACTAGACTATAGACTAGACTATAGACTAGACTATAGACTAGACTATAGACTAGACTATAGACTAGACTATAGACTAGACTATAGACTAGACTATAGACTAGACTATAGACTAGACTATAGACTAGACTATAGACTAGACTATAGACTAGACTATAGACTAGACTATAGACTAGACTATAGACTAGACTATAGACTAGACTATAGACTAGACTATAGACTAGACTATAGACTAGACTATAGACTAGACTATAGACTAGACTATAGACTAGACTATAGACTAGACTATAGACTAGACTATAGACTAGACTATAGACTAGACTATAGACTAGACTATAGACTAGACTATAGACTAGACTATAGACTAGACTATAGACTAGACTATAGACTAGACTATAGACTAGACTATAGACTAGACTATAGACTAGACTATAGACTAGACTATAGACTAGACTATAGACTAGACTATAGACTAGACTAGACTATAGACTAGACTAGACTATACTAGACTAGACTATAGACTAGACTAGACTATAGACTAGACTATAGACTAGACTATAGACTAGACTATAGACTAGACTATAGACTAGACTATAGACTAGACTATAGACTAGACTATAGACTAGACTATAGACTAGACTATAGACTAGACTATAGACTAGACTATAGACTAGACTATAGACTAGACTATAGACTAGACTATAGACTAGACTATAGACTAGACTATAGACTAGACTATAGACTAGACTATAGACTAGACTATAGACAGACTATAGACTAGAACTATAGACTAGACTATAGACTAGACTATAACTAGACTATAGACTAGACTATAGACTACTGTACTCACTTAGACTAGACTATAGAAATAGACTATAGGACTAGACTATAGACTAGACTATAGACTAGACTATAGACCTAGACCTATAGACTAGACTATAGCCTAGATCTAGACTAGACTAGACTATCGACTAGACTAGACTATAGCTAGAGACGAGACTAAGACTAGACTATAGACTAGACTATAGTACTAGACTTAGACCTAAATGACTAGACATAGACTAGACTATAGACTAAGACTATAGGAACTAGACTATAGACTAGACTATAGACTAGACTATAGACTAGACTATAGACTCTAGACTATAGACTAGGACTATAGACTAGACTAGACTACTGGACTAGACTATAGACCTACTAGACTAGATAGATACTAGACTATAGGCCTAGACTATAGACTAGACTATAGACTAGACTACAGACTAGACTATAGACTAGACTATAGACTAGACTATAGACTAGACTATAGACTAGACTATAGACTAGACTATAGACTAGACTATAGACTAGACTATAGACTAGACTATAGAGACTATACTAGACTATAGACTAGACTATAGACTAGACTATAGACTAGACTATAGACTAGACTATAGACTAGACTATAGACTAGACTAGACTAGACTATAGACTAGACTATAGACTAGACTATAGACTAGACTATAGACTAGACTATAGACTAGACTATAGACTAGACTATAGACTAGACTATAGACTAGACTATAGACTAGACTATAGACTAGACTATAGACTAGACTATAGACTAGACTATAGACTAGACTATAGACTAGACTATAGACTAGACTATAGACTAGACTATAGACTAGACTATAGACTAGACTATAGACTAGACTATAGACTAGACTATAGACTAGACTATAGACTAGACTATAGACTAGACTATAGACTAGCTATAGACTAGACTATAGACTAGACTATAGACTAGACTATAGACTAGACTATAGACTAGACTTGACTGACTAGACTAGACTATAGACTAGACTATAGACAGACTATAGATAGACTTATAGACTAGACTATAGACTAGACTATAGACTAGACTATAGACTAGACTATAGACTAGACTATAGACTAGACTATAGACTAGATATAGACTAGACTATAGCGACTAGACTATAGACTAGACTATAGACTAGACTATAGACTAGACTATAGACTAGACTATAGACTAGACGATAGACTACAGCACTATAGACTAGACTATAGACTAGACTATAGACTAGACTATAGACTAGACTATAGACTAGACTATAGACTAGACTATAGACTAGACTATAGACTAACTATAGACTAGATATGACTAGACTATAGACTAGACTATAGACTAGACTATAGACTAGACTATAGACTAGACTATAGACTAGACTATAGGACTAGACTATAGACTAGACTATAGACTAGACTATAGACTAGACTATAGACTAGACTATAGACTAGACTATAGACTAGACTATAGACTAGACTATAGACTAGACTATAGACTAGACTATAGACTAGACTATAGACTAGACTATAGACTAGACTATAGACTAGACTATAGACTAGACTATAGACTAGACTATAGACTAGACTATAGACTAGACTATAGACTAGACTATAGACTAGACTATAGACTAGACTATAGACTAGACTATAGACTAGACTATAGACTAGACTATAGACTAGACTATAGACTAGACTATAGACTAGACTATAGACTAGACTATAGACTAGACTATAGACTAGACTATAGACTAGACTATAGACTAGACTATAGACTAGACTATAGACTAGACTATAGACTAGACTATAGACTAGACTATAGACTAGACTATAGACTAGACTATAGACTAGACTATAGACTAGACTATAGACTAGACTATAGACTAGACTATAGACTAGACTATAGACTAGACTATAGACTAGACTATAGACTAGACTATAGACTAGACTATAGACTAGACTATAGACTAGACTATAGACTAGACTATAGACTAGACTATAGACTAGACTATAGACTAGACTATAGACTAGACTATAGACTAGACTAGACTATAGACTAGACTATAGACTAGACTATAGACTAGACTAAGACTATAGACTAGACTATAGACTAGACTATAGACTAGACTATAGACTAGACTATAGACTAGACTATAGACTAGACTATAGACTAGACTATAGACTAGACTATAGACTAGACTATAGACTAGACTATAGACTAGACTATAGACTAGACTATAGACTAGACTATAGACTAGACTATAGACTAGACTATAGACTAGACTATAGACTAGACTATAGACTAGACTATAGACTAGACTATAGACTAGACTATAGACTAGACTATAGACTAGACTATAGACTAGACTATAGACTAGACTATAGACTAGACTATAGACTAGACTATAGACTAGACTATAGACTAGACTATAGACTAGACTATAGACTAGACTATAGACTAGACTATAGACTAGACTATAGACTAGACTATAGACTAGACTATAGACTAGACTATAGACTAGACTATAGACTAGACTAAAGACTAGACTACAGAATATTATTTGGAATACTTATCAAAAGTTTATAAGTAAGAAAAAGTACCGAATATGTTGTGGGGTACCGCGATATTTTTTGATATCAAAAGTACTAAAGTACTGAATTTTCCATGTCTGGTCTAAATAATGATAATATCTATTTAAGAGAACAATTTGTTTAAGAGAAACAAATTGTTCTCTTAATAGCTGGTTTCTCTTGTAAATAACTAGCACTCTTTGTTGCAGAAGGCGATAATTGTGTAACGAAAAATCAACCGGGTATTTGTAGAGAATGGGGCGAATGTCCCATTATAAAAACATTAATCGAAACAGGAGAGTATACCAATCGTCAGGTAGTAAGTTGTGGTTTTGGCATACGAGAAGAATTGATTTGTTGTCCTGTCATTAGATCAGAACCGGATATGGAAACAACTACTGTAGAAAATGGTGATCGTTTTATAGTGTAAGTATTTTTGAGAGTTGTATTCAGTACTTATATGCAAATATACTTATGAATTGTATATGTATAAATGTTTTAGATGTTGTTGACACTGTACACTGAGAGAAGCGTTGAAAAGTAAAATGATTTTTTATTTTTTTAGCTGAAATTTGAAATACTGAAAATAATCTTAAAAATATCTAAAAGCAGAGGCGTTGTTCCCGATTAACGCAATGTGGCTTGTCAAATTTTATACTGAAAATAAGTCGTCCACATATTCAACGTATACAAATTATCATTTATTTTAAGTTAATGTTGCTCTTGAGACAATATTTGTTAATTCTGTATAATAATGATTTTTTAGTAAAGTTGTCCGTTAAGTAAAATGTTATATTCGGAATATTGCATTTTTTTTTTAATTACAATTCCATTGATGTCAATTAAATTTTGTAAAAATTTTCGAATTATCTAAAAGGTTTTTTTTTCATTATAATATTGCTTTTTCTAAATAAACCATTATCTAAAAATTTCTCTTTAGTTGAAAATTCAATTTTCTTAGAGCTCTCTTGCTCTTATAAACATGCAATCTCACACACACATATGTACATATATAAAAATTCTTACTCTCTGTTTATGCCAGCTTTATAACAGAGCTCTCTTGAGCTAATTTGTCACCCAAAGAGCTATCTTATAAGAAAACACTTTTGTACTCTTGTTTTTACACAGAAAACAGAAAACTCATTTGACACTCTCTGCCGATGCCCGCTTTACAATCAAAATCTTCTGTTTTACTCTTAATCGCTCCTCTCATTGTATGTTTTTATCGTTTTTGCATTAATTCACACACTAATTTGCACATTTTTTATTCTCTCTCTCTTTTATAATTGAAATGTATTGGTTACTGGTATCTATCACTAACAATAACTATTGCTTCTTTTCTAATCTCTTTCCTCCTCTCTTTCCCTTCCGCTTAACCAAAAAACAAACAAAATTTAACAAATCAAAATTTAGACCAACTACAACTCAAGCTCCTGTAACAGATTTTTGGTTGCCTTTACTGCAAACTAACACCACTACAGCAGCTCCAGACTTTTGGGCAGATTTATTGATCTCAACTACCAGCACGACCACTACCACCATAAAACCCTTGATTGTGGGAGAACAAAGATTAAATGAAAGTTCGGAATTTTTTGACTTTAATGCTTTACTCAGTGGCAATCAGGGTAAATCGGAACGACAGACAAGTTCGGTTGGTAATAAGCCAAATGTGAATCCCTCTAATGGAGGTTTTGTGGGTGTGAATGGAAATGGTAATGGTCGTAATAATTTAAATACTGCAGCAGTCAATACGAATCAATGGAATTTTGAACAGCCTGTTAATAGTTTTAATAGGGTACCCGGCCTACCAAATAATAATAATAATAATGGCCGAGGCAATAATGGTGCCAGCAATTTCTGGGCAAATGGTAATGGAAATGTTGGTAGAGGCCAGCTAAACAACGGTAGAGGTCAACTAAATTTTGGTAGAGGCCAGTTAAATGGCCAACAAAATTTAGGTAGGGGCCAGTTGAATGGTCAACAAAATAATGGTCGTGGACGTGGTAATCAAAACAATGGTAGGGGTCGTAATGGCATGGGCAATCAAAATGCTGGTTTTATTTTCCCCGAAAGTAATATGAGACCCACTAATCAGTTTTTTGAAATTGAAGATACTAACAATCGCAGACCTGGTAGGCCTGTTAATACTATGCAAACTCAAAATCCCAGTACTGTAATTGCAAACAATCCCCATAATAACAAAAGTAATGATCCTAAGGATGAAGATAGTAGAATAGAAGACTTAATTAAGAATGTATTCGATACTACAAATAATGCCAATAAGCAACCTGAAATGAGTATAGATGATGCAATAGCTAATATTTTCAATGTTAATAAACCGGAAAATGCTCAACTAAATAATAAAAATCCTTCTGCACCAATTGCAAATAATCCTCAAGCCTCGGGGACTTGGTTGAGGCCTCAAGAAAACCTTAGTAATCGCGATGTGGAGTTTATACCTCATCAGCAGGTGGAATTTGTAAATCCACAATCGCCAGCTCATTTTCAAATTGCACCAGATCTAGAGAATCAACTGTCGGGCAATGATTTAGATGTAGCACCCTCTACTAGTTTCATACAACAACCCGTAGTAGTTGAGACTTGGTCTAATAATCCGGTACATAGACAAGAATTAAATCCCATACAAATAGTTTATGAGAATCTAGTTAATTCAGGCATGGATATTGTTAAAGCCCAGGAGCAAGAAGTCGAACATGTCTTTAACCAACAGCAACAACAGTTTCTACAGCAACAGCCACAATTTGGTCAACAGGGTTCCCATGTAGTAGTGGTACAACCTCTACCGCATGCCCAACAATTTCTGCAACACCCACAATTTATACATCAACCTGCCTTAGTTCCCTCACAACTCGGACAAGAACATTTTCAAGCATCGGTTCATGAAAACGAGTCTTCGTCTAAAGAACCTCGTTCTACCTCACCGCTACAACAGTTTGTACCACAACAACCTAACAGTGCTACGCCTCTGATTGTACAGTCGCCACCCACACAAATATTGGATCCATTCAAACCATTCGAATTCCGCCCACCGCCAGATGATGAAAACCCTTCTTTCGAAGACGATAATTCATTAAGGTGGTTATATAAAATCATTGTGTTCCTAACATTTTCGCAGTTTTTATTCATCTAACCTCTCATTTAAGTCGTATAATTAACTTTTGGTTTAGGCTAACAATATTTTAAATTAATTACTATTTTTTCTTGTTAATTTTTTTTTAGCCCAAAACCGACACCGGATATTAAAACCAATGAAAATGATAGACCAGCTGTCAGAGGTGAGTTTAAATGGAGAATATTCATTTGATTTTGTATTTACATATTTACTGTTGACTTCTAGCTTGCCGGCGTATTGAGCGTGGTTTAGCTGCATCTTTGTCGCCTCATATTTTGGGTGGTGTACCAGCTGAACTGGGCGAATTTCCCCATATGGTGGCAATAGGTTATAGTCGTATTGGTGGTGACAATAGACCTCCCTACGATATACGTTGTGGTGGTACTTTAATCGATAAACGTTTCGTTTTGACAGCTGCTCATTGCGTTTCGGAACGTGAAAATGTCCCCTCTATTGTACGTTTGGGTGTGGTGAATTTCACGGATCCCAAAGAAATGAGCAATGCTGTGGAATTGAGAATAAAGGTAAGAGTTAATGTATTTCGCTTATTTTACTCCGTTTGTAATTTCAACAAAATAGGGTATATATGTATATTCCGAGTCCTTATAGATAGGGGAGACGATTTAGCCATGTCCATCTGTCTGTCTGTCCATATGAATGTTGCAATCAGTTTTCTGTGGAGCCGGACATCTGCAAGAACCGTTTCCTCAATAATTCTTTCATACATGCTTTTGAGTATCGTATTTAAAGTCATCTAAATCGGAACATATATAACGGATATAGGTTCAAAATTTCATATAACTTCCATACAAATTTACATACTCTTGGAAAATGGAGTTATTTTTAAAAACTTCATCTGGAATATCGGAATTACCACAAATTTTCACTATATATCAAATATCAATAGATATTGTATTACAAACTAAGACCTAGATCGGTCTATAATTGACCATAGCACTCATAGAACGTCCCACAGTGGGGCAGAAAGGAAATCTTTTCGAAATAAATCTGGCATTTCTAAAAGCCTAGTGCGATCAGCATAAATTTTGACATGACTTTAGCAAAGGAGTATTCGAGTTTAAATATTGCAAATGGACCACACAAGTACTCCAGGGCCGGTCCTATGGGGGCTCAAAGTAGGATACCTTCGATATGTAAAATTTTTAAACGCGTGCCATTGTTTTGTTTCCCAACCGATTTCAAAGATTTTTATATATTTGGAATGCACTCGGCAAGGTCTTATATAACTCTTATAATTTCCGAGAGAAAATTGAAATTTGAACATTTTGTAATACATTGGCCCGTTTTGCTAATAAAGGACGTAATTTCAGATCGAATGGTTTGGTATAAAAACTGTCCTCTTTTTTGAATCGCTCCTACTTCCTTTCGAATTTGACGTATTCTAAAGTCCCTAAGCTGGGATTTGAAAACGGATAACGGTCTGCTTTTTTTGTTTCGCTCTAAACATAAGCATTTCCGAAAATTCCGGTCTTGTAGGGGAGACTAACCTTCAGTTCAAATTTTAAATCTTTTAGAAGACTTTTTTTTGGCAAAATTTTAACAAAATCTATATAAAATTGTTATTTCCCAGGAAACCTATATCCATGATGACTATTTAACACGTTTAACTTACAATGATATAGCCATTTTGGAACTAGAACGTGATGTGGAATTCAGTGAATACATTTATCCAGTATGTTTATATACAAATATAACGGATCCCGATACCAGCATTAAACTATGGGTTACCGGTTGGGGTACTGTTAATACCACCAGTAAGTTGTTATAAAATAAATTTCACCAAAAAAACCTTAATAATTGAAATGTTAAACATTTTAGCGCGCAGCTTTTCTAACATATTACTAAAAGCTCCTTTGCACACGGCACCTTTGGAAAGTTGTAATAGAAGTTTTACGGAATATGGTTTAAATCGAAGAATACCAGAGGGTATAATACGTACACAATTTTGTGCCGAGGATAAAGATCAAATTAAAGATGCCTGTCAAGGCGATTCGGGAGGACCTTTGAATTTGATAGTGGATGGTAAGATGTTATGATTTTATAAAGCTGATTTAAAGTTAAAAGTTTTATTTTTGTATGTTTTTAGAATCTTATAAAAATTACCGTTTAGTGGGTGTGGTATCTTCGGGTTTCGGTTGTGCTTCCTCAACGCCTGGTTTGTATACTAGAGTGGCTGCTTTCTTAGATTTCATAGAGAAAATTGTGTGGCCCAATGGAGGAGATTAAATTTATGTTTTATTTTAATGACTTTAATAAATAATAAAAAATAAATTTAATAAATTAATACTAAAAGTGATTTAATGAATAAGTGTGATAAGTTTTACTCTAGTGATTTTTTTTTCTTTTACCCAGCCAATAAATTATATTAATTATTTAAGTCTATATATGTATACATATAGATGTATTTTGCCATACCATACATACATATGTATGTACGTAATAAATCTTTAAATAATATAAAGTTTAGTTCTTAGTTTTGACTTTATTCTTTCTCACTAAACAACAAGAAGCAACATGTGTTTGTTTGGCACAATTTAAGTGTTTAGCCTACTAAAAGTATGCTACAAAAAATAAACATATCAAGCAAACACACATATACACATACACACACCTAGGCAAACATCAACACTAGGCTAAATTACGATACACTTTGTAAACATTAGAAACCGGATATTATTTTAGTATACAAAGCCTTAACGCATGCTTTAGTTTTTTTGTATTACGAAAGTGAGAGAGAGTATACTCTCCTAAAAGCTTTAATTTAGGGTGGCCATATTTTTAGCAAAGCAAGTTTATGGTAGAAACAGCTGTTTGTTTAAAGCTTTTGTTAAATATTTTCATTTTTAAATACAATGCACGCCTTTAATTTACCTTTAGTTGTACGCGAATATTCAAAGCATAATAATTGCTAGTGGAAAAACGTCAAGAGAACGGCAAATGTTTAACGGTTTTATTTTATTTAAATAAAATTTTAAAGAAAATGTTTTAATTATGGAAAAATAAAAAAATGGGTTAATGTGCTTAAAATACTAAAATAAATTATTAATTGAAAAAATTAACTAAAAAAACAAAAATTTTAAAAATTAAAATAAATTTATTAAAAAAATTAAAAATTTTAAAAAATTTCAAATCTAAAAAAATAAAACTTTAATATTTAAGAAAATGTTGTTTATCGTAATTTTTAAAAAGTGTTGTTAGTGTTAAGTTTAAAAAAAAATTTATAAAAAATTAAATAAAATTAAAAAAAAATTTTAATGTTAAAGTTCTTTGCTACCAGAAAACTTTAAAATTTAACAAATTAACTACTACTGGGATTACTTTTTTTGCCGTAATTTTAAAACTCTAACTTAAATTGGAATATTTTACTCATCTTTTCAATTAATTTGTTTATGATTAAAAAGTAAGTTTCTTTTTTTTTTTGCTATTTGTTAATAATTTTTCTAGGAATCCTAATGAAAAAAAAGTTTTTTGTTACACAAAACCTTTAAAGTTTTTTGATAAACAAAAATTAAATAAAATTTATTTGGGTTTATAATTTTAAAATTCACCTTAACTTAGAATATTTAACTAAACTTTTCAATTAATTTGAAATAAAATAAGAAAAAATAACTAATATTTCTGGGAATATAAAACGGAATATAAATGAATTTGCATCCAGCGAAAACGTGGTAATGACTTAAACTTACTCAAGAACTTACTTTTCAATGACTACTACATACCTACATAACTACATATGCCGACAAATTTTTAACGCAGTGACTCAGATACTTTTCTAAAGGATTGAGCCGCGCTAAATCTAAATCTGTCCTCCATCAAATCTGGGATTTGAGATATCGTTTCATGAAGTTTGAAAAAATGTCATTTTTGAGACGTTATTACAGCGTCAAGTCAACTTTATTTAGAAAATGTTGTATGCCAACTGAAAGCTCAATCTGTCAACTTTAAAATAACATTTTACATCTGTCATAACTTTTATCTTCTTCGAGTTATATTCACCTAAACCTTGATAAAACAATAAATTGTAAAAAAAAATATTTTTCTATAAAACTAAATGCATTTCTGCTATATTCTAATTTTCCACAATTTTTACTTTTAAATACTTTTTAAATTATTTAAAAATCTGCTGTAGTCTCTGAGATATCAACCGTTGAAGTTGACGGACGGACGGACATCAGACAGACGAATCAGGAAGTGATTTGTAGTCGATTGGAACATTCTTAGATAGATGTTAATCCAATATTTTTGTTCGTTATAAACAATACTATATTCGCACTATAGTAGTGTAAATGGCACGAATATACCGAGAACACAGAGTTTTCAAGATATAAACCTGTGATAAATTGTTATGAATAAGGCCATAATAATATTATTACAATGTTAAAGATATTATTTTAAATCTCATACACATACTTGGCATAAACTGAGATATAACCTTACAAATGGGCGTTAATATCATTGCCACGCCCACTTTATTTGCTGATTTTGGTTTACGTGGTCTGAGAATTCTCTTTTGATTACTGTTTAAAGAAAAAGTTTACTAAAATCAGCATTTAACTCAATAAATATAACTAGAATATTTTTATTGACCACGCCCACTTTAAAAATTTTTAAAAATATACTATAATGTTTATAAAAGTATCTTAGAAGAAGAATTGTGGGCATGGTTATCATAAAAATTATATTAAATTATGGTATAAATTTTAATTTCTATATAAAAAGTAGGCGTGTTCTTATTAAAACTACGCCTACTTATTTAAAGCATTCTGATCTTATAAGGTCTTATTCAGTTTGTCTGTTTTTAAGTTATGGCTTTTTGTTGTACTCAAGAACACCAAAATTAGCACTAACATAAGAAGTTGACATGATATAATCGCAACTTTTTTGGTGATGTTGTTCTAACTCTTATTGTGAACTTATATACCTAAATTTCAGGACACGATATCTGAAATCCCACATGTGATGAAGAAAATGTTCGCATTCAGCACGGCTTAATCTTTTAGAAACGTATAACTTGGTCTCAAGGTTTCGATTTTTTCTAATTTTGTCGGTCTGTGCTATATACGTGGTTAATTAATTTTAGCCTTGAAAACTTACTTACATACTTAACTCCTCATTTGCAGGCGATCATTTACCTAACTCCCTACTTATAAGCGAGTGTGTTAAGTACTTGCCTATCATGTTATCGCCGTGTTCATAATGACTTTTGAATGCTATTGTGTTAGTAAATTTTAGCATTTTAAACCCCTTACTTTTCCATCTAAGTTTTTGCTGGGTAATAATGAATGTTTAAATTAATAAAACTTTCATAAAAGAATTTTTTTGGTAAACACTTTGTTTTATATACCTTTGATAAGTTATAAATTTGATAATGAATATAGAACTAAACTTTTTATTAAAGAAAATGAAATTGAATAGTATTTACCAGGCAGTTAAACGATTGTTTTACTTTTAAAATGTTTAAATTCTTGTTATTTTAAATTTTACATGATGATGTCAAATTTTTTTTTGTAATGTCTAGGAAAAGCAATCTATAATTTATAAAATTATTTGTTTTGCATTTATTTTGTTTTTTTATTATTATTTTAATTCTATTTGCCTTCTCAGTTTCATTATTTTCTAGGAAAATTTTTATTTCTTTGATTTTGGCAAAGTTTACATGGATTTTCCCAGAATTAAATAAAATGCCGTAATGTATGCTTTTTGTATAAAACAATTGTACTATTCATAATTGGTATGGTAGCGTTGTATTGTTGTATGTTGTATTTTTTGGAAGTATTATTGTTTTGTTTTTGTTTCTAAATCAAAACTTTTATAAAAAAAATTATAATTCTAAATAACAAAGTGTAAAAAAAGTTTTAAAAAGTTCAAGTTCAGAAATTCCCAAAAACTAAAGTGAAATTCCCAAACATTTTATCATTTTACAATTTTACCCCTAGGGTTCAAATTTCTCTCGGGCTGGGAACATACTTTAGGGATAAGTAGGAAACACATTAGGGCCGTTTTTCGATTCTAACTTTGGAATTTTAATGCAAGTGCCCTTGAGTTTAAATTTTCAAAAAGCCCGATTTTGCAGATATTCAATAGAAAGTTTATACTGAATATAACATCTGGCATATTTAAAGTAAGTTTATTCCGATCCACAGGACATCTGTGAGCTCAATAATTGATTTAAAATATAATTCTTTCACTGTTGGTAAAATTATGTTTGATTTCAATAATTATGTTTGATTTCAATAAAATGTTTTTCAATTATAAAGGTAAGCCGTTAGAAAGTGATTAGAAAGCTTTAGGATTTTATATATTACTAAAAAGTAAACACAATTTCCTATCCAAAGATGTATGAAATTATATAACTTTTCTTTTCTACAAGACAAATTAACGTTATCAAATCTCAGTAATTAGCTTCTTAACGTTTTCTTCTAATAACTGGATAATGCCGTTTATCGGTTATGCAGTGCTAAGTTTTTCGGATTTTTTAGTTTCTGAGGAAATTAATTTCAAATTTGAATTTAAAAAAATGCTTTAAAATCCAATATGTCCAAATAAAATACAACCAAAGTCAAGCCATACAAATTCCCTTTAAAATTATGCTGATTTTGGCAAAATTTTTGTTATTCAAAAAAATTTTACGTAAATTCTTGTTTAAAATTTACTAGAAATTTTTGTTTTGATAAAAAAATCTCTGCAGAATAGATTCCTTGTTTGGAATAAAATATATACTTATACAAAGTTCACAGAAAATAATTTAAAATTTTAAATTATTTAACTTTCGAAAGCAAAATGATATTAAAATATAAAAGTTAAAACTTTTAAATTTCCCAAAGGGTTAAACCAATTTATGCGGTGATAAAATTTTAATGCAGGTTTTTAGGGGAAAAGGGAAAAGAGAAAAGAGAAGACAATTAAATAAAAAAAGTTTCATTTTCAAGTTTCATTAACGTGTTTTTAGGGAATTTTTTAAATGTTTATTTCTTTGCCGAAAAATATTAAATGGTTTTTATATAAAAAAATAAAAATTTTTTAAATAAAGAAAATTTCAATTTGATTTTTATAAAAGTTTTGCATGCATATACACATATGTATGTATATGTTAGTTGTAGGCTTATGTAAAAAAATCTTTACATCAATATTCAATTCATAGATTAAAAGAAACAAAATGAAATCCTTATCATTTTCAAAAAATCATTTTAATCTTTCATAAGCCATAACTAATAAGTTTCACTGACACATTTCATTACAAAACTATAAAGAAATCTATATTTCCATAATCTTTTTCTCCTAAACGTAGACTCTTTC